AACAACTAAAATAATTAGTTTCATCCAGACAATTAATTCTTTGTTCTTGGACTCAGTGCTGCTCCAATGTGTTGTTCACCACTTGCCAAAATAAATAGGTTTTCAGGATGATGCACAGTTAAATGTGACTCTGTTACCATTAGTTATTAAAAATGAAGTCTAAGGAAGTTATCATCCAGAATTGTAGAAAAAATGTTTCTTTAATGGGGTAGAGCAGTAAAGCTTCTGGACCTAACATTTTTTTTTTTGCATTACTTTTATTTTCATACTTAGTAGTTTTAAAAGGTGGTACTTTTACACCTTTACTGGAGTCAAATGCTGAAGTTGATCCTCTAACTTCTACAACAGTGTTTTTAAACAGTAGGATTTATAATTCTTAATATTAATATTAATAAATATTAATACTTTTGACACCTCTGGTAGTTGCATCTACCAGACGTACAATTAAACAGTTCATTACTCTATTACTGAAGTAATCCTTACTTTTGTGACCAAACAATAGTGAAATATTTACATCTAGGGATTTGGAAAGCTCTCTCTGGGTACTCCAGCTTCCTCCCGCAGTCCAAAAACATGACTGTTAGGTTGATTGGCTTCTCTAAATTCTCCTTAGGTGTGAATGCTTGTCTGTCCTGTTTGTCTCTGTGTTGCCCTGTGATGGACCCCACCTCTCACCCATAGACAGCTGGAGATAGACACCAGCACCCCTCACCCCCCACTAGGGATTAATTGTTTCAGAAAATGGATGGATGGATTTGGAAAGCCTGAATTTGGACTGTTATGTCCACCAGGCTTGTTTGGTGGGGTAACATTAAAGGAGACCACACAAGGATTTATATTAAAATTTAATTATTCAATGATATTAAAGAAATAAAACCTGAAAAGAGAATACCTGAAATAAGAAACCAAAATAGATCAATGCAAAGACATAACTAAGCAGAATTAAACAAAACAAACTCAACCAAACCAATACAAATCAAACCAAACGGGGTCTGAAGAGGGAGAGAAAAGAGCCTCCCCTCCTCTGCATGCATAGCAGCTTTAAAGCAGCAGAGCACCAATCAGGGCTAAACTAACACCTGCAGAGGGCCTAACTCCCAAACCCTACAAGGAAAATGGCAGAGACCCACTGCAGCCACAGCAGGACTTTAAAAGGAACTCCAAAAAGGAAAACTGCATTTCCAAGTTGGGAGCCCAAACTGAATACATGACAATAACTATAGTTTCTACTAATGAAATTCCGGAGAGAAACTGCAGAGTTAACTGGCCTTTGGGGGAAAAACAGGCAGCTGTACGGAGAGATGCAGATTTTTAAAGTGGCTCTCTAACAATCACTCTAAACCCAATTTTCTCTCCTGGCAGAGAAAGTGGATTTAGACAAACCAGCCTTGTGTCCTGGTCTCAGGTTTGAGGAGTTCCCCTCTAACTGAAGTCATGAGAGCTGCTCTCCCTCAACTCCTGAAAAAAAAAAACAAGAAAGCTGATTGAAATTTGCAAACTAACAAAGAGACAGAAGTAAAAACATGATGCTGTGGTTGAAAAACACACTAGCATGATGTAAACGGTGCCCTCTGTGAGTCAGGCATCATCCCAGTGTGTGTGTGTGTGTCTGCAGTCGACGTCCATGTGTTTGTCCAGAGACAGATGGCGACGCAGAGAGAGCCCGTTCCCACGGCTCACACATAGGAATTTAAAATGCAGATAAAATCCATCACAGAGGCATGTCCTCAGAAAGATAGCAAACAGCTCGGCCGCTCGGCCTCTGCTCCACATTCAGTATCGGACTTCAGTTCATCAATGTTTGTTTGTGTTCTCACAGATAAGGATTCCGGGTGACTTCTACTTAAAAAAAAAGGACAAATATTACATTTTTTTTAGCAGCTGTGTTTTGATTATTGTAAAGAATATTAAACAACAGAATAACTTCACTCAGATTCGTAAAATGTGCCCAAAATAAGCCGCCCAAAGAGAACCTCTTTCATCAGGTCAACTTTAGACATGTTTTTTGTTATTTACAGAAGCCAAAGCGAGTAGAGAGTAGAGCTAGTTCTGTGTAGCTGTGGGATGGGGGTACGATGGGGCTGTTAGAGATGGTAAATTTAGGTTTGGCTCGTCTGAAGCTCAGGCCAGATGGCCATGGGCTGCTTTAACAAAGCTCTGCTCGTCCACATGTTTGCTCTCTGCAGGCTGATCAGCGAATGAGGCTTCCATAAAACATTGTTATGCTGCTGAGGGCACGAGGAGGAGGGGGCCGGGGTCAGCTGGGGGGGCTTTAAGTTCTGACTATCCAATTTAGCCTAAAACTGCTGCTGCACGGCCAGCAGCTCTGCTCATTGTTCTCTTATGATTCCCCATGATTGTCCTTCAGAGTCACATTATCTTTTCTTCCTGTGTTTTTATGAATTATTATCATTTATTTTTGTCAAACCAACCAAATTTAGCAACATCCATCTCAAAGGAAGCCTGTTGATGACTTTTCTCTGTTTTCGGTCCAAGAAAGAGCAAAAATCAGCAGTGTGTGTGTGTATGTGTGTGTGTGGGGGGGGGGGGATTACATTAATTTGTTTCTCAGATTTATGTAATCAAGCTTAAAAAGACAATTCAATAATGTCTGGGATTTATTGCATGTTTTGGTTTACATCCGCATCAACAAGGAAGTTTTTTGAAGAAAAGTACATTCATTAAAAAATAGTCCCTCTTTGTTTTTTGTTTTTTTGTTTTTTTATCCTTCTAACTTTTACTGATTCCCAACCAGGGATGTTCAATTTATCAGCATCTACACCAGTTTTAAGCCTATTGGTATCATATGAGCAACACTGGCTAGATATCAACAAGTAATCATTTATTGTTATTTTCTACATAAGGAACAGGGGGGGGATTTACCATTAGGCAATACTAAGCAGCTGCCTAGGGCCCCAAGTTCCTGGGGGCCCCATAAAACTCTGTTTCCATGTATGATTAATACAACTATTCCTTATTTGTGCACATTATGTTTTTGATAAAATCCTTTGGCTAAAATGCCATCAGAACGCTGATAATATTAAGTGTGTCTCAGCCCCCCCCCCCCCCCCCCTTCAGTGTCCACCATATTGGATCAGTCCATTTGCTGCACATGTTCAGAAAGGTCCATACAGACAGCAGCAAACCATTTGAAAACAAACCATGCAAAGAGCAGTGTTGCCAACTTAGCGCTTTAGTCGCTATATTTAGCCACTTTTCAGACCCCTCTAGCACTTTGATTTCTAAAAAGCTCCTAGCGCCAAATCTAGAGACTTTTTTCTGCTACTGGAGACTTTGGAGACAACATCTAAAAGCAGCGAACTCTGCTCTCCAGAGCGAGTAGATTGGTAACCCCGCCTCCTGCTCTCCTCTATCTTGTCTGCTGTCATGATTCATGCAGCTATTATTTCATCCAAATGAAAAATGGAGAACAGATAAGCAGATCATGGCTTGTCTACAGTGAAAAGAAGGACTGGGTTATTTACTTTGGCCTTTTTGGAAACACAGGAAGGAGCAATCAGCTAAGTGAGCTTAGTGCTTGGAAAAAATCTTTCATTCCTTTAGAGACAGCATGAAAAGTCAGCTGAGTACAAAACATAGAGAGGAAAACAAGAAGAAAAGGGACAAGAAGAGAGGGACACAACCTAGAACAGATAATGGATGTCTATTCTATTAACATTTCTATTATGTGTTGTCTTCTCCATTCAGAGGGTCCCAACATGTCTTTGCCTAGAGTCCCAAATTTCCTAAATCCGCCCCTGGTAATGAACATACAGTGTATGATGCTAGTAAATATCAGTTATGGCAATATTAATATCAGATGATTTTTACCAACCCAGGTTTGCTCTTTTTACAACAAAATGACACCTTTGGATTTTTTCTAAAATGAATCTTGTTTCCTTGACACTTATGGAAGAATCTGACCAAATCAACCAGGATATCATGAAGGTTTTGGTTTTCCTTCACAAGTCTGGTTTAGGATTGATGTGCATTTAGTTAAAAGTAAAAAAAGTAAAGAAACTCTCTGAGGCTGAACCAAGGTGGATAAAAAGCTCAGAACTTGAAGCGAGTAGAAGAATCCTCCTAGATACTGTCTGTGTTATTTGCAAATATGAATCTTGAACATGAGAATGTGTTTGATCTAATCTCAGAAAGTGGTTCAGGTAAAAACGCTTTATATCTTCTAATGAACCCTGATGTACGTCCCTATCCTGTGCGTAATTACGCGGGTTTACTCCTTTAACTTTTAAACATGAGCCTGTCTGATTGGCACCTTCCTTTTTCTTCTTTACTTGTGGAAACTTTGCATTTTCAGGCAGCCATAAATAAGGATCCCAGTTGGCACACGTTCTGAACAATGCGAGTCTGTCAGGGTCAGTGACGGCTGTGTTAAAAGTAGCAGAGCCAGGGAGAAATTCTGCTCGGGTCCATTGTTTGTGGCACACTTTTAATTCAGGGGTGTCTTCTGTGTCCGTAGGAGGCTGAAAGCGAGAGGAGGACGGGGCAACCATGAATAATCCCTCCTGCGCTGCCTTAAGGAGGACATTCTAGCGAATTAGGGAAGGAGAGAGGGGGTGGAAAAGAAAGGGGAAGCAGATAGGTGAGGGGCGGGTGCAGATAGAAGGAGAAAGAACTCTCTCCCCCCTCTTTCTTTCTCTCTCTCTCTCTCACGGTCACACGCAGACTGAGGGAAAGCTGCGCCTTTCATTGCCCAGACGCGCACTCTCACTCATCCATCAGCGCGCACAGAGGAGGCGGATGGACATATGTGGACCCAGACAGCAGTTCACTCTTCAGGGAGACTTCTGTGCTTTAAAGCGTAGGATTGACTCCTCCGTTTATATTTATTCTTTATAATGTTTTGGAGTTTAGTTTAGTTGTTGTTTTTTCGCGCAGCGCGCAGCAACAGAGGATTTAAAATGCCAGACTTCTGAGGACGCATCGTTTTTTTTACCCCCCCTCCCTTCCCCTGATCTCCCCCTCCTTTGTGGAAGTATTTGGATTTCAGTGGATGGAGCCAAAAATGATTCCAAGCAAAAGAAATGTCGTCTGTGCGGTTCCAGTCGCCCTGCTGCTGCTGGCTCTCCTGCAAGGCGCCGTCGGTAAGACTCTAAAATACAAAGTTTACGAGGAGCAGAGAGTGGGGACGGTCATCGCGCGGCTGAAGGAAGATGTGGCCGGGGTTCTGTCCAAACTCCCGAACTCACTCAGCTTTCGGTTCCGCGCGATGCAGCGGAGCAGCACGCCGCTGCTGTCCGTCCGGGAGGAGGACGGGGAGATCAGCATCGGCACCAAGATAGACCGCGAAAAGCTCTGTGAGAAAAACTTAAACTGCTCCATTGAGTTCGACGTGGTCACGCTGCCCACGGAGTACCTGCAGCTGTTTCACGTGGAGGTGGAAGTACTGGACATTAACGACAATTCCCCGCACTTCTCACGCGCCATAGTGCCCATCGAGATTTCAGAGAGCGCGTCGGTTGGGACGCGCGTCCCGCTGGACGGCGCGGTGGACGCGGACGTTGGGGAGAACTCTCTGCACACCTACTCTCTAACTCCCAACAACTTCTTCAAAATAGATGTGAGAACCAGGACGGACGGCGCCAAGTATGCAGAGCTGGTGGTGATGAGGGAGCTGGACCGAGAGGTGCAGTCCAGCTACCAGCTGCAGCTCACCGCTTCAGATAACGGCCTGCCCCCCAAGTCAGGATCCACTTTACTCAAGATAAGCATCTCAGACTCCAACGACAACAGCCCCGCGTTTGATGAGCAGTCTTATGTCATCAACCTGCGGGAGAACTCAGCTCTCGGGACTCTAATTATTGACTTAAATGCCACAGACCCAGACGAGGGCACTAATGGGAAAATTGTGTACTCTTTCAGCAGCCATGTTTCACCAAAGATTTTGGAAACCTTTAAAATAAACCCAGAAAACGGCCATATCACTCTCATCAAGAAAGTGGACTATGAAACCACCGCTTCATATGAGCTGGATGTCCAAGCTCAAGATCTGGGACCCAATTCCATTCCTGGACTTTGTAAAATTGTGGTGAAGGTGGTTGATGTCAATGACAACAAACCAGAGATTAACATAAATCTGATGACCTCAGGTAAAGAGGAGGTGGCCTACATTTCAGAGGGGGCTCCAGTGGACACATTCATAGCTCTGGTACGTGTGGATGATATGGATTCTGGTCTCAACGGTGCAGTGGTGTGCAGGCTGCACGGTCACGGCCACTTCAGGCTCCAGAAGACTCACGAGAAGAACTACATGATATTGACCAATGTGTCGCTGGACAGGGAAAAGAGGTCCGAGTACAGTCTTACGGTGATGGCGGAGGACAAGGGTTCCCCCAGCCTTTCGACCATCAAGCATTTTACGGTCCAGGTGCTGGATGAAAACGATAACCCCCCGCATTTTGAGAAAAGCCGCTATGAGGTATTTAAATCTGAAAATAACTCTCCTGGAGCCTACTTGATGACCGTGGTGGCGTCAGACCCCGACCTGGGCACCAATGGTCAGGTCACGTACACCATTATAGACAGTTTGGTCCAAGGGAGCCCCATCTCTACCTACGTCACCATTGATCCTTCTAACGGGGCCATCTATGCCTTACGCAGCTTCGACCATGAGGATGTCAGTCGGGTCGCCTTCACCATTCAGGCTCGTGATAGTGGCAACCCTGTACTATCAGCCAACACCACCGTCCTACTTACTGTTCTGGATGAAAATGACAACCCCCCCATCATCCACTCACCCTCCCTGCGGAATCACACGGCTGAGCTCCCAGTGTGGAAGTACGCATCGCCTGGTCAGCTGATCAGCGCTCTGAAGATCACAGACCGCGACTCTGGTGCTAACGGAGAGGTTAGCTGTTCCATCGTTGGGGGCAATGAAGATGGGTTGTTTGTGATGGACGCACGGCGTTGCGAGCTCAGAACCAATGCCAGCCTGGAGCAGGCCCCACGGGATGTGATGGAGATCAGGGTTGAGGTGCAGGACAGGGGCACCACCAGGTTAACCACAGGAGCCCTGTTCAAGCTGTCCCTGCAGGAGAACATGGACATCCTCCCTCCTCTCTATCCTACTGGCTCCAGCCAGGGCTCTCTGGACCTGTCCCTCATTGTCATCATTTCTCTCTGCGCCGTCTGCGCTCTGCTGCTGAAAGTGATGGTGATGTTTGCTATCGCCCGCTGCAGACGTGAGAAGAAAGACCCCAGGCGTAACTATAACTGCCGTGTGGCAGAGAACAGTTACCAGAACCACCCCAAGAAGCCTGCGAGGCATATTCACAAGGCGGACATCACCTTGGTGCCCACCGTCAATGGAACCCTACCCATCCATTCCCACCCACGATCTCCCCTGCCCTCTCCCACACCAGAGAGAGGCACTCTGGGCAGCAGGCAGAGCCATCAAAGCCGACAGTCGCTCAACAGCCTAGTGACTATCTCCTCCAATCACGTGCCGGAGAACTTTGCCTTGGAGTTAGCCCATGCCACTCCTCCTGTTGAGGTAAGACTAAACATTTCTTTCTCTGAGCTAATGCTTTGCAGTCTTTGATACAGTGGACCATGCTTTTGCTTTTAAGAAAAGCCCATTCACAAACAAAGACCAAACTAAACGTTTTTTTGTGCAGCTTTTGTTTGGAATTTTGTCCCTTATGTCCATATTTTGTTCCTCATGTTTTGTTGACCATCATTTCAGGGTCAAATCACGATTTCATGTCAACCCGTTCAGTTTGTAGCCCCCTTCCTCAGCACCCTACCCCCCCACCACAAACCAACATTGTCTTGTGACCTTGTTTGTGGACTCCATTCATTTCCCCTCTTCATTTTTTCTTTTTATTTCTGTCTTTTTGTCTTCTTTTTGTCTCTTTTGGGGATTGTAGCAAGTCTCACAGCTTCTGTCAATGCTCCATCAGGGCCAGTACCAGCCACGACCAAGCTTCAGAGGCAACAAATACACCAGGAGCTACAGGTAATAAAATCCTATTGTATAAACAGATGATTTTTTATGCCAGTGCCTTCATGTAATGGCTTACAATGTTTTTTCTCAGCCTGTATTAAAACTGGGTGCTCCATAACCTAATTATCAGCCTCTAATGTAAAGCACACTCTGTCTCTGAGCACCTCATGATCCACCTGTAATATGTTTTTTATGCCTATGATGGTATTACAATCTGCGATTAATACATGGAATCCCACTGTGACTGCAGATATGCCCTCAATGAGATGGATAAGTTCAGTCTGAAGGACAGTGGTCGTGGAGACAGTGAAGCTGGAGACAGTGACTATGAACCTGGCAGGGAGTCGCCCGTCGACAGGCTCCTTGGTGAGGGCTTTACTGAAGGCCAGCAGTGTTCACACTCAGGTACAACCCTGTCCCCGACCCATAACTCCCCAGGTGCATTCACTCCATCCTCCCTTCAGTCCCCAAAATGGGCTTAAAATACACAAACATGGAGGACTTATAGTTATATCAACATGGGTGGATCTAGATGGGGGCCAGTGCCCCTGTAGATCACATCCTGACCCCTGTTATGCCCCCTGTTTTCTTTAGTTCTAATTCAGATTTGATAGGAAATGGTAAATTTAACTTAATTTCAGTCAAAAATATTTAAAATTCCTAAATTATGAATTTATATTGACCTAATAAAATTTTAATTAAACCTAATTTAATAGAAATGTCCCTTCATGCAGCTCTCTTAATATATTTGAATCCCTTCCCCTGTTTTTTATTTCATTTCATTTAATTTTCTGTGCCCCCATGAAAACACACCGGCCCCCTCCTGGCCCCCTGGAACATTTGGTCTAGATACACCACTGGCTAGCAACCCAATGCAAAGATCCTCAAATCAGCTCAGGAATAAAGTTGTTTTTTCTTACCTCACATTGGTCTTACATTTTTAACAATCAGCATAGCAAAGCTTGAATATAACTGTTGGTCTGTCAGCATCAAACATTTCATCCAGAGGTAGAACGACACATGGCCAATATTTTGGGCTTATATCCATGTTTTTCTCTTAATCACAGCATCCATTCCACTTCATTCATTCATTTAGCAGCCACGCTAAGGTCAATGTTTTAGGTTTTTTTAATTCACACTTTTGTAACATTTGTTATCATTGTAAAAAAATTACCTTCAAATTCTTTATGCTAATGCTAATGGTCCAATGAGATGGGCTGCTAAGCCTCTTTTCCTCTGAAAATAGCGGGTCAACCCATGTTTGAAAAACATGGGTTGACCCGCTAACAATCAACATTAAGCTCCATTCCAATGGTTAAAAACGCTGGTCTAACCACTCGCTGGAAGCTGCTATGTCTTCCCCCCTATACATGTCTGGTGACACCATCACACTGGGTTAGGGTTGATGATGGGTTAGACACAACAGAAATCAGGAAAGTAAACAATGGAGAGCAACATGGAAGGAAGCCAGGACATAGTCAGTTCGCTTTATTGTTTGGTTCTATTAACTGTCTGAATTCTCACCAGAGATCAGAAGTGACTGGTGCAGTGTGTTGACGTCTGTACGTTGCGTTCAATGACATCACATAATTTAGCAGGTCCACATGCTGGGGTTCCCACAGCATGCCGGTCAGAGCCGAGGTGATTTAATAAGGTCACTTGCCAAGTTATTTGACGCGGGTAGACACACGGCAGTGAGCTGTTTCCACTGCCACTATAAGCTGATTGTTCCTGGGTTTAAACAGGTTTAATTGTATATGGTCTAACCCAGACCCTTACCCTAAGCCTAACCATTAACAACATATTGCTGACCAAAACCTGAACTGAATTCAGACCTTAGTCGTAAACCTAACCCCAACCCAAAGTCCCAATTTTTGACCTGTACGTCTCCACAATGGGGGATATTTGACAATAGACTGGTCTCCATTGCAGTCAATAAAACCCAACTAAAGGCAATCTAGAAATATCCATTAACAGTCATGTTTTTGGACTGTGGACAGAAGCAGGAGTACCCAGAGAGAACCCATACATATCTAGGGATAATATGCAAACTTCATTCAGAAAGTCCATTGGATGGGAATTGAACCCAAGAGCTTCCTGCTGCAAGGAAACAGTGGAAAACTGCTCCACTATGCAGCCCAACTAAAACCTATGACAGAAAAGATTTCAGTCTTTATAGTCCACTAATAAACGATTTTCTGAGACCAGAATTAGGAATATATATTTTTTTTATTTAATTAGACTATTAGTTAGACTACTAATTAGACTACTCGGACTTGTTTGTTTCAAATTTGTTGATCATTATCATAAAAAAGGGGCATTGTAAATAGGGCTGAACGATTTTGCCAAAATTAAAGATTGTTTTCCATCAATATTCCGATTTATTGCAATAATCTTTTGGACTAAGCACTGGGATGGTTGATGGTTTGAGTCCATGGTTACAGTTTTTTCATGACCTTGAAAGCCGGCTTGTCCAGAGTCCAGTGTTGCAGGACATTGCTGTATAATTCACACAAACAAGTTCCTTCCTCTATTATAATGCATTAATCTAGGTGCTAGCTGCAGCTCTGTCTTCCCCTCTGTGTATTACTGCCACCTAAAGGACTGGAAGGAGAATTACAGTAGCAGACATTCAAAATGGCCCTTCCCAGTCAAAAGCCAGCCGAATGGCAGCCAACTTCCAGCTTAAAGTCCTCCAGCCACTGGAGTGACCCTCTGTGTCATATTTTTTTGCTCTTGACTCCAACTTCCACTGTATTAAAGGGTCTGTTTCAATTTGCGTGTTTTCTAAGCCAAAACGACTTTGTTGGGCTACTGTATAAAGCCAGTAAAGCCTTCCTGGATGGAAGAGAAACGTCTTCAAACTCGGAAACAAAGTCCAGTGGACTTTTTTGGAATTCTATTGGGATGATTCTAATTTTAGAAAGAAGGCAGACATCGGTGAAAACCCAAACACATTTCACAGGATTCATCTGATGTCCCACACTGAGACATGACTTATTGTTGGACTTTTTTTTTTGTCTTATAGTGATCGTATGTCTTTTTTCTGACACCGACTTCTTAAGAAATCTCTCACTGTATCTGCTGCTGCCCTCCATTACAATCAACCACTGCTTCTCAGTCTGTGGAGTTCTGTGGAGCTTTGAGCGCTCATTTAGAGTCCCGGCTGATTTAGTAATACTCCCCCAGGCATCACATTCACTCTGTATGGGGCTGCAGACTAGTTTAGTGGGAAACAGTTGGTCAATTCCTCCCAAATTCCTCTGTCTCTCTCCTGTCTCAGCCAGGTTATAGAGCCTCAGCTTCCTTTATCACCTCATCCCTTTTCTCCCAGAGACTCTCACAGCCAGCCAGCCAGCTTCCCACACAGCCATCACTCGATACCACACTTGAGATACATCCCAATTAAAGTGTCGGTGGACGGGCAGAGAATCCCATCACCAACACCTCATCTTCCCTCCCTTACAGCTGTGTGAAGGAGCTCAGCTCGTTAGTCACTTTCTTCTCTCCCGTTCCTTCAAGCTTTCACTTCCAGCCATTGAATCTGAGCCTCGCCTGCGTCTCTGATGAAAAGGAGCCATTTAATTGCCATGTGGCAAATAGTTGCTATGGAGTCAGATGTGAGTAGTGCTCAAGGCCTGAAGAACATAATTACGACTCAAAGCTCACCTTTCTCCATATGTAGAGCGGGCCCTCCTCCCACCCACATGTCCACTGTATCATGGAGGATTCTGAGCAGCGTTTAGTTTCCTCTCTACAATTATGGCCACCTTTCAGGACTTCTGCAGACTGCTACATGTACAAAATAGGTACACTGGAAAAAAATCCAAATCTTAGTCATTCTCTCTTAAAATTGCATTTTTTTCTTGAATTGAGGAGGCGAGTGAGACACTTTGCCAATGGAACAAGACAATTTACATAAAAATAAGTTTAAAAAACAACAACTACATTGTCTTATTTCAAGTGCGTATTAAGAGCTTATTCGTTCTCATTCTGTTGGCAAATCATCTTATTTGCCTACTCAAATTAGAGATTAACACTAAACGAATACAATTTTACTTATTTCTAGATCATTTTTGCAGCGTAGTGGCATTTATTTTTGTTTTTCAAAAGTAGGCAGACAGGAAATGGAATTAGAGAGAAGGGGAAGACCAGTGGTACATTACTGGCAGGTTTCCCTGGTGGAGTGGCCCCGCCCACACCCATACAATGTTTTTTCGCTGCCTTTGCGCCTCCTGTCCACACCCAAAGATAAAACATTTATTTGTGATGTTTATGTGTTGACTGAAACTACAGCGACAATCCACAATCATAACAACAAAGAATTCCTGTGGAAGAATCTTAAGAATCTTCCTTTTTCCGAATTTGGATGTTGTTTGTGTGTAATGGTGCCCCCTGCTGGAGAGAATACATAGATTTTACAGCATTTTCTAATGGAATAAATATGCTTAAAATTTTTTACAACAATTTACATTTCAAATACAAAAAAAAAACGATTGCATTGTCTTGTTTCAAGTCCATGTTATCTAACTATCTTGCCTTTACAGTCAAATTACTAATTCCATTGGCAGATCAATTTATTTAACTAATAAAATGAAGTAATTAAGTTAAAGCTACAGTGTGTAATAATTACAGGGATATACAGTCAGAAATGTAATATATTATACATAACTATGTTATTTATCATCATCTATGAGCTCAGCCTCTAAACCTTAATATTTGCGTTGCCTTAGAATTCATTATTTATAATTACATAGGAGCGGGTCTCGCAGCCATGGAGGCAGACATCTTTGCGCTACGGCAGCGCAGAGCCAACAAACTAGTGATTGCGAGATCGCCAAAACGTCACAACGATGTAGAAAAAATAACGGGTATATTTATTATCTTAAGTCTTCATGAAATCTATACCCTACACAGACTAATGAAATACTATCTGTAAAATTATCTATGTAAACAAACCTCGTCACTTGAAAAGGTAGGTGATGCGGACGTCATGGAAGACATTTTGTCCCGTAACGCTCGCCGTAGTGTTGGGGGGGAGAAGCGGTGGGGCGGAGATGTTCATGTTGCTGCAGTCTGCAGTCTGACCGCTAGATGTCGCTAAAAGTTACACACTGTAGCTTTAAGACAGTTTTACTTTTTATTAGATTGTTTTTGCAGTGCAGTTATTTCCTCCACTGTGTTTAAATACACTAAACATCCAACCCACTAAGGGCTGCAAATAATGATTGTTTTGCAAATAAATTAATTTATCGATAATTTTTTTTTTAAATCATCGAATAACAATCGGACAGCAAAAGGTTCCTTAAAGAAGATTTTTTTTTTATGAAATAAAGGTGAAACTAAAACCGTTCCATTTGAGGAGTTCTGGATAGAACAGATTGACAGACAAAGAAGTTTTTTTTAATCTTAAATGGAAAATGTTTTTTTTTTTCCAATGTTGGTATAATTCCTGCTCTAAGTGGGTCGTTCTGTCAGCCAAAGGCCTGTTTTACAGTCTCTACACTTCAGTTAACAATTAATCGATTACTGGATTAGTTGACTATTATTTCAATAATTGATCATCACCATTAATCCGATTAATTGCTTCAGCCCTAAACCAATTGTTTAAAACATAAATCTCAGTCATAGTGACTTTTCAGGATGTTTAAGCATAAAATCCCATTCTCATTTATTAATAATCCAATTCTCATTTTTCAGTAACAACTGATCATTTTTCCATCTTTAATTCTCTCCCCATTACCTGAGCTAATCGCTGACAGACTTTTCATCCCTAATCTTAAGGAGTTCTAGTTGCTAAATGGAAATCCTGAAAACAAATACATTGGCGAAGTAAGCCACTGTTCTGCTGTCAAGCAGGAACATTTCAATTCACGTTTAAATATATAGCTTGTTAAAAAAAAATAAAGGACAGTTTTTCCATTCATTCCTCTACATAGTATTTTTTTCCTGATTAAATGAATAGAAAAAGTCCAAGTAAAGAATGACATAATCAGCAGTTTATGGAATAAACCTTTTAAATCATTTGCTGGTGAATGCATCAGTTAAACAGAAGCCCAGCCAAGTTTTCAGGCAAACTTAGCCTGATGCATTCTTCTAATGTTCGCATGCAGATCAGTTGGGTTAAATCTTTTATTTTCCTCCTTTCATCAGCAGGGCTCCCAATCAGCCTCTGCCTCCGCAGTTTTTCCTTTTCCTTCCAGTGCACCCAAATGCACTTTTCATCTGCTCTAAGATGTATTATAAATGTTCCTTTCATGTTAATGAGGGGATAATGAAGTCCCTCAATGGCAAGACTGAAAAGCAGCGTGCTCCTTTAATGAAGGCTTTAAGTTGGCATATTTGATTTGTCTAATTTATTCTTCAGAGATTTTCTATTTGAAGATTTAATATTGAAAAGAGGACTTGAAAGGGGAAAATGTGGTGCTTTTAAAGGGGGAGTTATTTTGAATGTGTAACAGCCATTGATCGGCCTGGCTGAATTGTCTCTCTGTGGTAAATACGTTGGAAGGTAGCAGGCTGGGCTCCTGCAGAGCCTTTCAGACTAATTGGGGCAGATTTCCACCATGTTTAGAGAGAGTGGAAGAAGAAACACTTAAGAACTGGCAGCGAAATACCAACAAGATGGAAAAAAACACACAGAGCCAAATTTATTTACAATAAATACATAGTTCTCTTTTGTGCACACTGCTTATTGTGATTAAACGTAATGTTCTAATCAGTTTATCTGCCAGATCTAATATCCCATGCTTTCTTTGTAAAGCCGGGCATACACTGTATGATTGTTTGCCCTTTTCGGGACGATTCTCTAGTCGTGCGAGAATTTTTCGATCAGGCTGGGTTTCATCCTCTTCGTGCATAGTGTAGTATACAAGGGCTGAAACTGGAGCGATCAGCCTCTCACGGCCACCTCCTGATCAGGAATTGTACGTTCAGGAGAAAATCAAACATGTTTGAAATGTTTGACTTTGAGGTGTTTCTGGGTAAAACCCTGCTGTTGAAGCAGAGCTACGAGCCAATTTACCGGAACTTCGAGCACTGAGCATGCGCAAAGCCAGTTCCCCATTTTTCTTCCAGATTGATGAGTCTGAGCAGCGCCACCTCTCAGCGCTGAGTCCAACGTGTGCTTTTTGGACGTACAGTGTGAGCAGGCAGATCGTATGAGAGCGTCGGGTCGCACAGTGTGAGAACAAACATGGTGGGCTGTTAACTTTTAAACCCTGCGGTTTAGTTTCACAGTTTGAGCTGTAGCTGCGTGCAATGATTGAAAATACGGCTGGGCGATATAGAAAAAAAGCTTATCGATAAAAAAAATGCATATTGATCGATATCGATAATTATTGAAAAGGTTTAAAACCATATTTTATGTGCAGCTCTGCCTGGATTTTTTATAATATTGCTAAATGATTTAATTTTAATAAAAAACACAAACACAGACTTCCAATTAAATCTTTATTTAACCAACTTTTTTAACCATAACAGAATTGTTTTAAAGAAAAATAACTTAAGAGACCTGGGTTATGTTATTAAATACTGACAAAGAATAAACTAAAGTGACCAGAAAAGTGACCAAAATAAATATAACAAATAAATAAATGCCCCCCCACCGCCGCCCCCGTTTCCTGCTTTAACCTGAGTTATTACTTTGAAGTTTCTGGCCCCTCAGCATTTTTATCTCATTTGTTAGAACTACGTGGGAAACTGCCCAGAACTGAAAATATATATATATTTCCCGAAGATTCCTCGGAGGAGAGCCGCGTCGGGGCCTACACAGCTCGTACTCCTGCGGCTGTGAGCGGCTGAGATGATAAAAAAAAAAAAGTTGGTTGTGTTATCAGACTTCGTTTTCACTGGTTCCCGACACATTTTCCAGATGACTGTGGTTTGTTTTTTGTCCGACTTGCCATGACCGAAATACTGCCAAACTGCCGAACTACAAAAACCCTTCTTTGAAACAATTTCCTCCGCCTCTCCTTGCTGCGACATCTTCATGTGCTCTGTGTTGTGGTTTGAGAGGGCGGCGCTTTGTGACGGCGTGTCTGGGTCCGCGATTGTGATTGGTTGGGAGGAAGCAGTGACTAGCATAAACCTACATGATAGGCTACAATGAGAAGGAAGAAAAACTGCCTTTCTTTTTTATCGAACTTTTATCGACCCTCTTTTTTTCTATTGCGCCACACGTCTATCGATCGATATATATCGTTATTGTATTATCGCCCAGCCCTAATTGAAAATATTGCACAGTGAGTGCAAGGAATGTTTCATAGGGTGTACAGTAGTAGCCATTCAGAATATAACTCACTTTCCTTGATGCGCCCTTGGTGACCTACACAGGGTTCCCGCGGGTCCTTAAAAAGTCTTAAAAGGCATTGAATTCTTCAAAATAAAACTAAGGCCTTAATTGGTATTAAAATGTCTTAAATCAGTCTTTCGTAGGTCTTAATTTTTAAAACATCATAAATAGGATTATTTTTATTACGATTTATTTTTGTAATCTAAATAAACGTTAAAATTTACAATTTTGTTTTTTATTATAAAAAAAAAAAAAAAATGGCTCGCCATTATTGGTTCCATCCCGATAGCGGAACCAATGAAAGCTTTGTTGCGGCCGGGACATTTGGGAGATGCGCCATTAAGTGTAAATGTAACCAAAATTGTCTCCAGCCAAGAGTTTTCTCCATGGCTAAAACCAGGGAACATACATGAGGCTCAGTGGATTTAATGCAAGAAGTCATTCAAGCTCAGAACGATGGGAATTAAGGCAGTGGAGTCACGCATGCGAAATGCGAAATACAAAGCGTCAAAATGGAGTTACAGAGAAACAGCCGGTATTTCTCAGTTTTGTTCCACCCTTGTCTCTGCAACGCCTCCACTTATCACCAAATCAAACATACTAAGAAAACCATACAAAGAAAAATAGCTGCTAAAAAGACTAAGCACTGGTTATGTTGTGGCTTTAAAACTGATTTGTTTTGTTCCCTGCTAAAACAAAGTTTGTGAATTCAGTTAAATAATTGTTAAAATATATCTGTCATTTCTGTGTTTTTAGCTTTCTTTCTGTATGGGAAGCTTTTCAAAATTTGAAACATTAGTGCAGTGGTTTATGTTAAAATAAACCTTTGGGTTAAGTTGTCGCAAGCAGGTTTTTCTTGTGTTTCTTGTGAATTTGGTCTTAAATTTTTATTTCAAGTGGCATTAAAAAGTCTTAAAAAGTCTTGAATTTAATTTACCTTATGCTGTAGGAACCCTGCTATAATTCCTTTTTAAATATCAATATTTGTACTAAAATATTCTTTCGGTCATGAATTGTGGACATTAAGATCTAAAGAGAAGCTTCATCTCCTGGTCAGACTCTGTGATTCAGTGAATGGGTGGAGTCAGGGGGTGGGGATTGAAATTTAGACTCTGAAACTTTATTTCCTGCATTTTAAGGTGGAATGCAGCTAACTTTTTGTCTTTTGTTCCAACACTAGTTCTGTCCTGATAATAGGAAGAATGTGTGTTTGACTTGAGGTGGAAATTTCATAAGGAAGACAGGATATCATTTTTAGCTAAAATATAGTTTCAGAGGTTAATTCAAAGAATCAGGAAGTGTAACTTTAACTTGCTGCTAAAGGTGAAACTTTTACATAAAATAACAAGTTGAACAATGATAAACTGAAAAACAGTCTGCAAACACTACAGCACAGTCTGAGCTCTTCCAGTAAGTCGTGCAACAAGCATATTCAGCCATAAAGTTTTAGATTTGAAGCTTTGATTTGTTTTGGGGCTGAGCTCTGAACCAGCTTAGGATTGTTTTATGAAGCTACTTGGATTTTAGCTTAATGTTTACCATAATAACGTGTATCACCTTTGATTAGTTTTCTCATGAAGGATTATCTCTCTTTTTGCAGCCATGAAGCTCTGCACAGAGGAGTGCCGCGTTCTGGGTCATTCAGATCAATGCTGGATGCCTCCTCTGGCTTGCCCCGCCTCCTCCTCGGCCGACTACCGCAGCAACCTCTACATTCCGGGGGAAGAAGCACATCAAGCCACTGGCATCAATCAGGAAAAGATCCCCCAGCCTTGCACTGACACCTGCACCGCTCGCAATCAGAGCTTTTCCACCTTTGGAAAAGACCTCGGTGGGGAAGACGGTGGAGAAGCGGATGGGGGAGAGGATGAGAACAAGTCTCCAGATGACGACCTGTGCGGGACGTCTTCATTGCTGTCGGAGATGAGCAGCGTGTTCCAGAGGCTGCTACCGCAAGGTCTGGATTCTTATGTCCAAGTCAGTGAGAACCAGAAGGGGACCAGTCTAAGTGGTGTTGGTGTTCCCATGACCGGATCTTTGGACCGTCGGAGGGGTCATCTACCTGGGAAGCCCAGCCCCTCCGTCCACCAGCAGGGGGTTGCTGCCTGGGCTGCCAATACTCACTTTCAGAATCCAGGAAGTAGCATCGGCCCATCTGGGCAGCACCAGGGTGGCAGCTACCACACCCTCAAACCCAATACCAAGCTCAGCTGCCAGAGTAGCAATCACAAAGGATCCCAGGCACCAAAAAACAGCCCCCAGAACAGCAGCCACAGCCCCAAACCCACCAGCTGCCCCCTCCTGACTGGGCTGGTCAGCCCAACTCTGGTGCAGCCTTCTGCGGTCCAGGTCCCAGTGCAAGCCCCCCTTAACGGGCCACCATCCAAATGGCTGCCGGCCATGGAGGAGATCCCAGAGAACTACGAGGAGGACGATTTTGACTCGGTGCTCAGTCACCTTCAGGGCAAACGCAGCGACAGCCGGCATGAGCTGGTGGACGCCAGCGAGCTGGTGGCTGAGATCAACAAACTCTTACAGGATGTCCGGCAAACGTAAACGTCTGCGGGGAAAAGGAAACACAGTTAAATAGAGCTGGAAGAAAAAAAAAAAAAAAAGACCCGCAATTGTCGTTAAAATTGCTTTTTTTCTGAATTAATTGTGTTTTGTGAATGCTAACTATCCCAAAAAATGTTTGTATATGCTGTTTGGTACACAATGTACATTATGTCACTGTATTTATCTTTGTATTTTAAAAATACATAAGTATTCTTATATTTATAAAAAATGTATATAAATTTAATCAGAATTCTATTTTTATAATTTAATGCATGTTAAAAAAAAAGATGAATCAAAACTTTGACATGCGATTGACATTCTGCATATTTAAAAGCCGTCTTTTTGTATTGTGAATCTTTTTTATCTGTCACCATGATGTGTAAACATGAGTATATTACTGAGTTATTGGACACTTGTCTTTGTGATTTAATCGTGATGAGAAGGAGGCGGGAGGTAGACCAATAAAACAGTCAACAAAAACATTGTTTTCTGCAATAATTGGTTCCTGATTTACTGCTGAAGCCATGAAGCACTGTCAGGGAGGGGGGTACGGTGCCGAGGCTACCTTACAGCTAAAACAAAGTTGGCCAGACAGGAAAGAGTTCGGGTGAATTTCAGTATCAAATCATTACTAGCTGCCAAAAAACTGGAAAGGAAGAGACATTGCTGGATAAAGAAAATATAATTATGCACAGAGACGAGTTTTTCCTTACACTTTCTGAAATGAATTCTGACATTAATCTCAGAATTCTGACTTTTTATACAGAATTCTGATTTTAATCTCAGAATTTTGGATCTTAATGTAGATGGGCACCATGAAGGCAGAGATGTGGAAGCACTCAGCTTCACTGACAAAGATGTGATTTGTTTGAGGTGGCCAGTGACACATTGGTGGAAAATGACGGAATTAGGCAACTTTTTACGTTCCCGAGGGGTCCCCTCATTAATGGAGGAGCAGAAGGTCATTAAAACAAGAGAGCTAGTCTCTAAAAGAGACATGGCTATGGCCTGATGCTAGCATGTTTGTTAGCTGTCATAATTCTGAGATTAAAGTCTGAATTCTGAGATTAAAGTCAGAATTCTGACTTTTTCCCTTATTAAACTGAAATAAAATTAAAAAATCAGTTAACTTTTTTTTTCAGTGGCCCCAATCCCCCCAATTGGATCTTATTTCACTATTTCTTTACAAATTCTGTTTTAGTAATTATGTAAAAGCAATAAGGTGATAGCTGCAGTGGTGCTGAGATAGGATTCCAGTTTTTATCTGCTAAAAATGTTTTTTTTTCAAAACATAAAAAATATATAAACTTTTTACAGCTGAATTTATTCAGGTTTTTTTCTTGTTCTAATTCAGATTTGATAGTAAGCTGTGATATACTTAAACTAAGACAAAAATATGTAAAATGAATGTAAATTGACCTAATAAGAAATCTAATTTTAATTAAATAGAATAGAATATAAATGTAACTTCATCCAGCTAGCTTAATATGAATCCCTTGCCTTGTTTTTTAAGGTCATGATTTTCTGTTCCCGCATGACAGCATGCTGGCCCCCTCCTGGCCCCCTGATACATTTAGTCTAGATCCACCCCTGCTGCCCCAGTCAGAGAATAACCCTCTGCCATTGCACCTTGCTGTTGTAAATAGTTGCTCCAGTTAAAAACAGGGAGGCTGAGCTTTCTGCTGTAAACCGCAGCGTCTGTGAAATCACCAAACAATAAAGGTAAAGGACCAGACTCTGGGAGATCTGACTGTGGAGGCAGATGGGGAAAAAGCTGCTGTGAGGAGACAAAGAGGCACCGAGAGCTTCGCTCAGGGCTTTGTTGATCAACCCCCTCTGCTGCTCTAACAGCTAGACCCTGAGTGACACCTAGAGGTTCACTGTGTGCACTGAAACCTCACCACTCCACATGCCCACCACTGCCTCTCTGTCAAAGGATCAGCAGCAGCAAGTGACCAAACAGAGCCCCCTGGAGGAAACACAGGGGAACTGCAACTCGATGGAGATACTGGAAAACCAGACACTTTGGATCATTTGAAGGTGATTTAAAGCAAAAGTAGAAGATAAAATCCCTCTATCTTTCTGCAAACAATGACAAAATATATATAGCTACCTGATTGTATTAAGAATGTCTGCTGCAAGATGGTTTCAGTAGTCTTTAATGGACTAATTTAATTCAATCAATTCAAACCTAACTCTTAGCTGTGTCTCTGCTTAGACTGAAATGCTGTCAAGTAAAAAAAAAAAAAAAAGGTTATTCTTAAATTGTATAATTATAATAGTGATCCCATAATTGTCAGACTTTCTGAGAGGTGCTTCAATATGCAACCAGTACTGATTTCAATCATTATTAGCATTCAAATATCAACTCAGACGTTGGACATCTTTCATGCCTGGCTTAAATAAAATTTGCACCCCCTTAGTAATCTTAAAGATATATATATAAAAAAATAGATATGTAATAATAACTGTAGCGGCACACATCCTGTATGCTAGAAAAGAGAGCAGACTGGATTAGACAGCTGCTCATTGTAGAGATAAACTAGTAAAACCCTGTAAAAAATAAGGCAGATGAAAAGGTCACCTGCATAGAGGGGATGTTACTTCATTATTGCTAAAAGCACAAAACATGTTTTCTAAATGGAAATATGAAATAAAATGCAATCCAGAAATGAAAGTCAGAGAAACATTTTTGATCATAAAAGTTTTAAGAGTAACTTTGCTCTTTTCTAGAATTGATTGAATTTTTTCTAAATAGTTTTTTTTTGTTTAAAAAAAAACACATATGTTGTTTTTTCAATAATATTCTATATTTTATTTTTCCTGTCATGTGTCTGCTTCACTCTTTGCACCAAATGTTAGCCTCAGCCAACTGAGCCTGGTTCTGCTGGAGGTTTCTACAGATGCATGGACCACGCCATCCAATAGAGCTTCTATTCCTTCTCAACATGGCGGCCGACAGGGATTCTATTGATCAAGTCACAAATCACCTTCTTTAGCGATGGAAAGCAGAACGATGGCGTTGATATCTAATGGTCCACCCAGTTCTCTGAAGTGGGAACCACCACTGATTCCAAGAGCTGCTTCTGGATGCTGGTCAGGGGAGGACAGCGGAACATCAGAGGTGCCGCCAAGCAGACTGAGTGCCAGAGCAGGGGAAAGGGTGCAGCTGACGGGGCTAGCCTCTAGAGGCTAACTGCAGAGTTTCAAAGGATGACAGTTGTGCATGGAGAAGCCTGCAAGGCAGAGTGCAACCAAAGTGCAGGCAGAGGTAGGAGCAGCTAAGGGAGGAAAACCAACAGATGCAAACATCTTGCCCATCCATTAAGGGAAAAATATGGTTCTTTTGCTTGTTTTTCAAAAACATATAGATTAGGGTGACCAGAAGTTCTATTTTTCATACCTAAAAAAATGTCTGGGGAGGATTTCAAATCGTTTGGGATTTTGGTTGAATACAGTGCAGCACGTAGTGGAAACTCACCGGAACCGAGGCGTCAGCTCCGGGACTGGAACCCCGGCACAGGTTGGGTGCAGTGTTTTGAATCTGTGTTTGTTTTTTCCCTCTCTCCCACTGCTCCCGTGTCCTGCATCTTGGAGTGAAATCATCGGATCTGTCGCTTTGAGACATCTGATCTGCGGTCGTACTTCACTGCTTAGAGAGTCGCTACGTGGAGGAGGAGAGACCCTCAGCAGCACTCAGTGAATATTAACCAGCAGCTACTTCTATAGATGTTTAGGTAAAAGTTAGTTAAAAGAATCAGAGGTGCCACCGAAAAATCTCTTTGTTAGACATACAGAGCTTGTAAGTTTAATGTAAGTTTATACAAGTTTATACAAGATCGTCTTATTTACCTGTTTAAATTAAGGGAAAATGCTGTTTGTTCATGAAGATTTTACTTATTTTTCTAGCAGTTTTTTGCTGTTTTAGTGTCCCAGCTTCTGTCTGCTTTGCTGATGGCTGCCGTTACATCATAACGGCAGCCATCCCAAGAACATCCCATAAACATCCCAAGAAACATCTTGAAACGTGTCATAGTTCTCACTTTTGGAACTCAGTTATTAGTAATTCTGTTTTGTTGATGTTTGGTTTATTTTCCATTATATTCAAGCAGGCTTTAGTTACTCTCTGCTGCCCCCTTGTGCTCGTTTCCTTTCCCCCTGTTCTCCTTCTAGTTAGTTCCACTCAGACCTGCTCCATATTCAGCTCATTAGGTCATTCTTTGTTCTGGACTCCCATAAACCTCCTCTGCAGTCACTCAGTGCTGGTTCCTTCTTGTTGTTAGTCTCTGGCTCCCCATCATAGTTTTCCATTATGTTTTGTGGTTTTTTGATTCTGTGTATTTTAACTTAATTGTTTATTAAATCAACAAGAACTCATGTCTGCATTTGGGTCATCACTGTTGACAAATAGTTGTGGATGTTTGTCCAGTTGTGCTTAATTTCGCTCATTTACATATTCAATATCGAAATGTATATTTGTGGTTGGTTCATTTTAAATGAACTTTCTCATCAAAATTACCAACGTGAGATATCCTTTTGTAGAGTGAAACTGCCCCTGCATGTCTGGGTAACCAGCTTCTCTCTATAGTACTGTAGTGTAGCGGCTGTCAGCTCTTTTGTCTGGTTTAACTCTTTTGTAAAAAAAAAAACAAAAAAACTTTAAATAACACTTTTTCTTATAATAAATAACTCTTAAACTGGACCTACATTTCAACACAGGGTGATCCAAGTTTACGAGAGAAAAAGTGCAGAATTTTCCAGCGCTGGGCTCATGTCGTCACCAAAGAATGAGCCATAAAAACAGTTCAGGTAGGAACTTATTCTCCAATCATATCTGTCCACTACGCTGTGAATATCTGATAGTGTGTCATTACGTGGTGTCGGTCCATGCATCGTGTTTGGGCCTGCTCGCTCTTACTGCCATGGCTACAGACATATGTGTCCCTTTTAACAAACTTGACAAAAGTAACTGGTTATGGTGTCTACACAGGCCTTCCTGTCTTCTCCTAACCTTGACACAGATCAATGAAGATGATTGCTTTTATCCTGAGAAAAGAGATCTGGGCTTCATCTAATCTGACTCCTGAGGGAGATGAAATAAAACATTAGAAAATATATACTGTATTACGGGAAGGAAAAAAAAAAACTACCGGTATAAGTGAAATCAGCTTATAATGATCACGTTGGTCCAGAGCCAATTTGAACACCATAAGCGATTGATTACTATATCAGAATTTACAGTTATTTCACTAATTTTTTATGCAGAATATCATCTAAATGCCATTTGTATGGTTTATCAATGAGAAAGATGAAATGAAATGGATAGATTCCACATTTACTGAATGTTATTACAGTACCATGCAAGTTTAATTACAGTATACTGCGCTGTGCTCAGACATAACTGGTAGCAAAGTTTGAAACAAATGGTTTCATAGAACAATAGCATAGAAGCAATAGCATAAACCTGTTTTGTGTTGCGG